GCCCCGGTAAGCAAGAAATCAAATTTGTGGCTCGCCAGAATTGAACAACCAGCGATGTAGAGTTCTCATCATACAGACTTTCCAAATATCACATATTTTCTAAGTATTTATTTGATTTCTTTGGCCTATTACTCTACATCGTAAAGCTCCTGAATTTTAACAACAACGTGTTTCTTAATTCTTATTTTTTTGTGTGTCACGTGGTCCATGTTTCCACTTAATTTATGCATAAATGTCAATAATAATACTATATATATTGTTTTCACGAAACAATATATATACTATGTATAATTATATTGTATGGATTATAAAAACCGGGAAATCAGAATAGCGTTCATTTTATACAGTTTATACAGTAAATTTACCAAAAAGGTTTTAAATTTCCTCTTATGAACGGTTTAATAGCGTTTCCGGTCAGCTAACCGATAACTATATACTTGCTACAAAATAAAGAGACAAATATATAAATTTAAAATGGTTTCTATATGCCTATCTATATCTGCTTGTTGAGTGAGAATCCCAATAGTTCGAACCAAGACCACGCCTTGAGTCCCGAAAATAACAAAGATTTTGTAATTCTTGACAGCCCAGTTGCTATCAATAAACAAGTTGAAAACGTCAAGTTAACATATGCCAAAGCTGCCGAGTTTAAACTGGTTCTAAATTATATAAATGGAAATGGATATTACCACTAGTTCGGCATAACAACAGTAGGATTAGTTCTGATGGCTTTGTAGGAGCAGAGCGTAGGCGAAACCAAACAAAGAGAATATTCCTATCTGGAATTGCAAGCAGTGTGAATGAAAAACATATTCGATCCTACCTTGAGCCGCGAAATATAAATACAACATTTATTTCGGTCTTTCCCAGTAAACGCAAAGGAACGGTATCGGCTGAGGTAGATATCTCCTCTGTTGATTTCCCTCTCATACAGCATGATGATTTCTAGCCTAAATTTGTGACTTACGAATTATGGAAATCTAAAGAGGTATTACAAATTACAACAAAGCAGAAACCGCAGACCAAAAGCAAACCACCCAAGATGAAAACACTCCAACTTCTCAATAATGGCTCAAATTCCGGTTAGAATTCCCCTCGCAATCGCGTAAATAAACGAAACAGACGCTGTCCTGGTAACCTAACCAGGGTAAATATTTCGAAACCTGGACCTACTACATGTATGTTTGTACCGGGTCTCGTTTTATATATGTCATGTCATTAACACCTAAAATAGATCCGTCCATTTGTCACTAACTCTGGAGCGGAAGTTGCCGTCTTCACTGAAGCATGGCTCAGAAGTTCCATACCAAATTTTATCGTGGATATTCCGGATATAGAATAATTCGAAAAGATAGACAAGAAAGAATACATGGAGGAGTCTGTGTATATGTTAAGAATGAAATGAAAGTCTCTGTTTTGCATGATTTGGAGAATCCACAATTCGAAGTGCTTTGGGTACAGTTAGTACCTGGGAGATTACCACGTGGTCTATCTTCAATTGTCGTAGGAGCGCTATATCATCCCCCAGCATCAGACGATAAATCTATTCTGAAGTATATTGCTGATAGTCTGATTAGCATTGTATAAGAACTGTGGAACTATTATTATGGGTGATTTGAAAATCACAAATATATCGAGACAGCTAGTTAAAGTTAAAACAACTAGTAAGCTTTGCTACTAGGGGACCAAGAACCCTAGATATTAAAGAGAAAAATCAGTTAAAGAGAAAAATCCACAACAACGATGCTCCCTGGATGTCGGATAAACTTAAACGAGCAATCAAGAACCGTCAACGGGCCTTTAAAGACGGAAATATAAGGTGCTTCAATTACTACCGCAATTTAGTAAATTCCGTAGGGAAAAGATGCAGATCCTCCTATTATAACAACAAGATCAGGAATCTTAAACATCTTGTCCACCCAACAAGTAGACGAGTTAGAACCCTTGACCAACACCCAAATCGCCAACAAAATCAATAACAGTTTTCTCGAACCTCTCCAAGAATTTCAGCCCCTGAGGTGTATGGACCAAACTGTTGACGCAACCTCAAAAGTTATTACGGTCACTGATCTTAAAGTGTACAGATGCCTAAAATCTCTTAATCCCTTTAAAGCAAGTGGTCCCGATGACATTCCTGCTTCGCTGATTAAAGAAAACGCGGTTCTTTTGGCGTTACCTGTCACAAATACTGAACTGCTCATTTAAAGAGAACAAACTTCAATGATTTGGAAATAGCTAACGTAGTCCCAATTCCAAAATCGTGAGTAAAGCAGTTGAAACCAGTAATTCTCAAAATTATATATCCCAACCAATTCGGGATGATCCCTGGCTCTTCAACAAGCCAATCTTTAATAAAAATGATCGACCGCTGGATGAAGCAACAGATGGGTCAGGAGCTTGTCAGAGTCGTATTATTTGATTATCAAAAGGCGTTTAAAGTGCTATATCACTCGTGGAATTTTTATGCATTTGAAAAGAATGTAAAAAGTTAGTTATATATTAAAAACGTTTTTTGATTTAGTGCAATAATTTTGAAGATACAAGCCTTTGAACTACCTGCAGTTCCTGAGTCCCAGGCTCCTGTAAACAATGGGCAGTTTCAAATTAAATAGCCGTGTTTAAACGCAGGAGGTTGGGACTCAGGAACCGTAGTTTATGGGCTTTTATCTTTGAAATTATTGCACTAAATCAAAAAGCGTTTTTTAACATATCAACTAACTTTTTACGTTCTTTTCAAATCCATAAAGATCCCACGAATGATATAGGCACTTTAACCTTGTTGACCATACCATTATCCTGGATAGATTGAAATCCCTAGACATAACGAACTCTGCAATTAATTGGATAGCAGATTTCATAGCAGATTTCCTGACTAACAGACAACGAGTTAAATTTGGAGTCAATTGAAGTCATTGGAGACAAGTTGTACATGAGGCGAAATTACTTGGTCTTACCATCACACCAACCTTGAAGTAAAATAAACACGTCAATAACATTTCAAAATCCTCCAAACGGATATATTTTCATATATATTTATTCAATTAAAGTGTGCAAGAGTACATGATAAGGACATCCTACAATTCTATTCCACTTGTATTCGCCCTATTTTGGAATACGCATCGAAAGTGTTTCATTATGCACTACCGAAATATCTTAGTGATAAAATCGAACGTGTCCAAAAAAGAGCTCTTCGAATTTTTTACCTGTCCGCACATTATAAGAATGGATTGATCGAAAGTGGTTTGAAAACATTATACACACGAAGGGAATCTGCATGTAAGAAACCTTTGAACCAGATCTTAGCCGATCCAAGCCAGAAATTGAACCATTTGATGTGTAGATCAGAACCTCCATTAACGTACGAGTTGCGTACGGAGAAACATTTTTATATTCCTAAATTTTTCACCGACCGTTTCAAAAACTCTTTTATTGTTAGTAGTTGCCTAAATAAATAAATAATTTAAATTTCTAATCTATATCTATATACTATATTGTAAATTTTATGACTATATATGATATTGTAACTTTTTATAATCTATATACTATATTGTAATTTTTTGCTGCCATATTAGCACCTGTAATCACCACGTTATTCAGTCCTTGTAACTGCAATGTGTGTGAATTATTAAACCAGCTATCTATCTATCTGTGACTAGATTTCGAGCTTTATAGATTATTTCAAATTTTTACTCTATGAAGCTCAAGATCTAGTCACAGAAACCTCGTCAAAATTGTATATCAGTCTCTTTATTTTGTACTGAGTATAGCTGTCAATTGGGAAAACACACTAACAGCACCGTATTTGTATACTAAGTACAAGTTCCCCAGCTTATTACCAACTTAGAACAATTGTGTTATCACTGATTTATATAAGGTAGTTCTTTCTTAATCAACGAAGGTGAAAATAATTTAGGTGGACTTTGAAAATCAAGCTCTTAAGCCCCGTTTACACTACACTCGATTTAATGGCACGGCACGGCTAAAATGGGTACCCGTGCCCGTTTTATCTATGCTCGGCCTTTGTTTTGGTAGCCTGAACACTAATAAAATTGGGTACGGATACCAATTTTAGCCGTGCCGTGCCGATAAATTGACTGTAGTGTAAACGGGGCTTTATTCGTGCAGAAATACCGCAAAGGAAACGCTAGTGATTGAGATCTCGCATCAATGAGTTTGAGTGAACTTTCAGAATACAGGCATAACTCCCCTGGCCATATACACGGGCGGTCAAAAAGAACTGCTCAAATGTTGCTATTATCGTATGTAACAGGAATCGTATCAATCAATCTTTTATTGTACACTAGCGGTCAAAAAGAACTGTTCAGATACAGATTCATAAAAAAGAAGCGAATGAAGGAGAGAGCTTCATAGGCATTTTGGATAATTCTCTTATTCCAAACAATATTTCAATTATGTCATGCACCCTGCCACACTTCCAGGATACACTCAGGAATGACAGAAATGGATTGGACAGAAATGGATTGCACAGTCAAAAGGCCTTAACCCTATTGAACATCTGTGGGACAATGTGAAAGGGATAGTGCAAGAAAGGAATTAATTTATAAAGCGTCCATGATTTATGCGTTGCTGTAAAGACTGTCCATAGGATGAATTTCTTTTGACCATTAAGATTACCACCTTAACAGAAAGTATATGCCACGCCGATGTAAGGCCGTCATCAATTATAATGCCAAAGGAGGGTCAACAAAATATTGATATTTCATATAGCTTAGCATGTAATCTAGTCTATATTTACTCGTATATATTGTTAGAGGGACAGTTACGTTCATTTGAGAGCATTTTAACTTGTTTTGAGCTAGTTCTTTTTGACCGCCAGTGTATATAGGTCGAAGCGTCGAGAAGTCTTTTTGTACATTTTAGGCAGTTGTTATACCACACGCTATGGGTTTTTTAGAAAACACAGATATATTTCGAATATGTATAGGTGTAAAGGTTATCTGCTATGAAATAGCAAAATATTATATTTTCTAAATTTATAGTACAAGAGCTGGTGAAAGATGTATTTCTCAAGTTGTCTTTTTCTCGTGTTGTGGGTGCAAAATAGTTGGAAAGGTGAGAACGCTCGTTACAAAGTTATCACATTTTCACCATGTGGTTAAATTTACTTGTTTCAATAATTTCTATATATATGAACGTCGTAAATACTGTTTGTACATATATTTTGGTACCCTGTTAATGGAGCATTGCGCTCCGTAGGGATTATCGCGGCAAACGTTTCACGAAGTTTGTAAATTAATGAGAACAAAACATTACAAACATGATATATTCGTTTGTTAAATATTTATACTTACTCGACAAGACTCTAATTTCAATCTTTCAAACACCAAGTACAGAGAATATTGTTTATTTCGGACAGTCTTGCTTCCTGCATGTGCTGTGAAAAATAATTAACATTAAATTAATTTCAATTAAAATATATAGATAACTGTATTTATATGTATTTTGTTACCTTTTAAGGTCTATTTCTAAAACGTAAGCAATCTTTTTTCCTTTTCAGCAAGCTCGAACCCTCTTGTCAAATCGCCTTTCTTTATTAAGTCTAAGGATGATAAAACCCAACCTAGTCTCCTCAAACCGTGGCATGAAGCTACAAAGAATATTCCCAGAATGTATATGAGTACACAAAGGTTTCCACGTGGTCGTGATTTTAATTTGGCACATAGAAAAGGAAAACTAGGTACCAATAAATTAAAACAAGAGAAAACTATCTCATCAAGAAATATTATAGGTTTTCCGATTTCGCAAAATAAACACAATACCAGAACAAAGCGGCACTATCTCCATGGAGTCAAACAGACCTTAATGGCGTACAGACAAGAGATCTTAAAGAACAAATAATGCGAAATGCTGAGGAATACTGGTGGAAATCTGGTTTCATTGAAGGATTGAACAGGAAACTTGGTGAAACTGTGAGAAAAGCACCCTTTTCGCAAGCCAAGTCACCTAAAGCGATTCAAGTGGCAAATTATCAACACCTTGATTTAAATGGAGATGATAAAGGGCGAGTGCGTGGCGGGAAAATGTCGTCAACAGTCACGAGAGGCCCTGCGGTGAACCAAGGCAATAATAGTGTGTCGTTAAATCAAACAATGTATGAAGGAAAACCACGGGGTATCCAAGAAGCACAGATTAGAAGGTCAGAAAGCAAAACTGATAGTAACATCAAAGAAACGCAGATGAATGTGTATGCAGGTAGTCGAGTAGATATGAATCGAGAACGTGCAGAAAAAGTGGAAAGAGGAAGGAAGCAGTATACAAGAGTAATCAGGACAATAACATAAGACACCGGGGACTTTTGAGAATAAAGAAGTAGAACAGGAAAGAACGTTACACAAGCAGAATATGGGGCAAGCAAAAGTGACGAATAGTCCAATTTGGGCAGGCGGAAATGGGATAGGAAACATTACGGGGGGGAGTAGGACAAACAGGAAAAATACAGGAATCGAGCATTTGGCACCCAGTAACATCGGAGGTTGCAATATCAGGAGGGACAAACAGTGAACCGTTGAGGTCGTTTAAAAGGTTCTATCCTAGAAACAAACGAAGACAAGGAATAGTCAGCCGGGTCCGGTAGATATAACACATGGTATAAACACAGGACAACCCATGGATTCAATTCCAGGGAAAACAGGACAATGGATGTGGACTGGTACATCAGAAGAACAAACGGGTGAAACGGTCGGACAATCCGGACAATCAGGGACTACAAAAGGACAAGGGGGGTCTTTGGAGACATTTCAAAACGAAGCCGCGCAGGAGAGAAAATACTGAGATTTCAAATTCATCACCCGGTAAGTACAAACTGCAATGTCATGTGTTAATGGTCAAGTTTATTTATCTTCGATTCACTTTCCAAAAAATGCCTAAATTTACCTTTTTACGAAGTATCGTGAAAACGGTGAAAAGTCCTGTTATTCGGCAGTTAGGTGTTCTATCAACTTAATTATCAAACATATGTAATTATATATTTAATCTAACTAATGCAAAATATTTAATATGTGTAAACTATGTAATATAATATATTTAATCTAGCTAATGCAGCCCTAACGACTGCCCAATATTCTTCAACACATTTTGTGCTTACATAAATATTTTCGCATATAATTGATCTAGAGGACGACAAAAATGTCCATGGTTGCAACGGTTTTAAGTTTTATAATTATTTTCATTCAATGCATTCTAGACCATAGCCATTATCTATGTTTGAAATGCAACTTAGCCGTTGGCTTGAAGTTTGTTACTAATTACTACTTCAGGTAATGGTTACAGAAGGGATGAAAAACTAGTGTTTAAATACGACTTTCGAATTAAAATTTTAATAACCAGCCGGTTTAAACATCGTCATTGCAGATTGCTTTGAACCGGTAGATCTTGCCTTCCTCGTGGACGGTTCGGGAAGTATCGATCCCATTCGACAGTTTCCAAAAGTTCGAACGTTTCTAAAGGAACTTGCATCTGGATTTCAAATTGGCCCCGCAAAAACAAAAGTTGGCATGGTTCAATTCTCCGGGAGAATGTCGCAGAAGGTTGAATTTGGTCTAGATCAAAATAGTGATCTTGAAGGAGTTCTTAAAGGAATTGACAGCATGGAGCAGTTAAGGTATGACTATGAGAGATTTGAACACAAAAAAGGGCACTATTACGTGCTAGGGATTAGGTATGGGAGTAAATTTCTCTATTTAAGTTAAGGGATTTTTCACAGAAGCACGGAATATTAGATAGGAAGATACGGAATCTTAATATCGTGATATTCTGATCCTGCCAAGTGCCAAAACATAATGTTGTTTTCCTGCTAGACTCAGAAATACTTTTTTTGTATTGCCTTTTTGTTTAAATTTAGTTATATTGTGGCCTTAATAAGATTTTTAACTAAAAAAGCCTATAAAAAGGGATTTTAAAGTTCTCAGTATTTTCAAAAAACTATCACTCAAAATTATCGAGTGAAAGATCCGAATCACGTCGTAACGATTGCGTGCAGTATTTTCGCTCAAATAAGACCTTCATCAGTTTCACTGTTATGCCTTCAATCTTTCCGTTTCTCACATTGAAAATTATTAACAGAATTTCTGTGTCACACTTAATCAGTAGGAGTTTGTGACTGTGAGTGATTTAAGCTTTTTTAGTACAAGCGTATATTTATTCAGTCAAGAATTGAACGGAAAGAAAATCAATTTGTGGCTCGAAGATTTTTTGACAGTCATTTCTTCCTCGATCATTTCCTACACAAACTATTCATGGCGAAAGTGAGCAGTATTTTTTAAGAGTAATCAATTATATGCCAGTTAAGTACTTTTTCATGGCATGCTAAGGAATAGAGGTTGCAAGTGCAGCCTATAACTCCTACTTTTACCAAAAGATGAAACGTACAGACAAACCTTATTTTCTTCCTTCATTTCATTGCTGCCTATGTGTAGGGGTAACACATATGTCGGTGAAGGCTTCAAAGTTGTCTCGAGAGAAATATTTTCACCCGAGAAAGGTGACAGACCGGAAGTACGTAATGTATTAATGCTCTTTACCGATGGAGCGGCCAGTGACTTCGAAGTTGCCAAAGAAGAAGCAAAAAAACTGAAAGCGAACGGTCAGTATTGCCTTTTTTTCTACCAATAGGCTGAGGGTATAATTAGTGCAGGAAGGTACGCCGATAAAAAAATCAGGGAAGACATTGTAATGGATGAATATATCGCCTGTTTACACGACCGTCATTCTGGGCTGGAAAAACATAATTGTTGGCCTCTCTCAACTGCAAGGTCATCCTTATATATAGGTTTGGGTTCGGCACACACGAAATGTGAACGACATTACTTGAAAATTTGAAAAATGATCCTTCATAATATATATAAGATTACTAACCTTCCAATTTCGTGATGATGCCAGACGAAATACGAAACGCTCGCCTTCTTCGAAATAAATAAATAAATATAGTGCTTGCTAAGTTGTAGCTAAAATATTAAATATAAGGTATCTAGAGGGCGTTTCAGTGAAATTTGCCCTTTTTAAATCCAAATAACATAATTCCTAAACTAAATTGAGGAATTTGGTATTGAGGCCTAGAGGCCGGTTGTACGAAAGGCGGTTAAGTAGCTACATGGCGTTTAGCTTCTATTCACCATATAAATTTCTTATCAACTGTAGAAAACGCTGCAGAATTGTGTTACATAAATTGTGCATATGATTTTTTTATACAGTCCACAAACTTACAAAGTGTATTTTATTACTTCCACAACAGAAACTCAAAGGATGAATCACGTCAATAACAGACCTTGGGTTTTACCCAATACCCTGATTTATATATATCATTCAGCTGTCATCCAACTGATTTTTAACAAGAAATCAGAATCTTTTAAAAAATTAAGTTAATTTTGCTAAGAGGTTTCTTCTTTATAATTTAAATAGGCATGGGAATACATTTTTCTTACGACTCATTGGTATTGCTAAACGTTTACAAATTAAATGGGAATATTTCATTCAAGGAATAAGAGCATGATCAAGTTTGATTACCTTTTTTTACCATAGTCCCTGTATACTTGGGTTAAAACTGAAATAGGCGGCTTGAAATTTCGGTTCTCCATAAGAACGTATACATGATTTTTTATTTAGTAGATAATTGCATTTAGATTTATTTAATGTTCACTGATTTACTGACAAAATTAATCTGTAACAGTCAATAAGTGCGACGAGTGAACATTTTGAATACAGGCGAGAGTGTTTTAAGAAAATATATCCGTTATGTAGAAATATCATAAATATCCTACGCCGCGAGATTATAGCTAAAACGTTATCAAACCAAAGCATAGATGAAAGTTGTTTAAGATGCTAGCTTTTTTTTAATCGCACAGGAGTCGGCGAAGTTCCAAAAAACTGCCCTGCGCAAAACAGATGCGTATCCAAAACAAAATTTCATCGCATGCACTATATTATTCTGTTAAAACTACTGATCAAAATTTTGAAGAAATTTCATGCACGCGCTGGCCAACCTTGGGACTTAAATAGTTATGTACCGTTTTTGTAAGTCGAACTTGGTTTATTTTCTCCGATGTTTGCACAAATTACAGAAATAAATTTGCAATCGGCTATATTTCTAAGAGTTCAGCGATCGTCGGGATGCTCTTCGATTACTTTTGATAATCCATTTTGATTATATCTATATGCTCTTTGAGGAAATAACTGAATAAATTTTTGAAACCTTGGATGGCATAGAGCTATAATTATTAATTCTACAAAGAAACATGTTCCACCAAAGTGTTAGAAAAACCAGGGGCCGGTTGTTCAAAAGCAGTTTAAATTTAACCCTGGGTTAGTGCTAAACCTGGGTTAAAATCCTTAACTATAGGTTAGCTAACCCTGGGTTAAAACTGTGTTGTTCAAAGCAGAGTTAGCGGTAGGGTTAGTTAACCCAGGGTTGAAATATTTAACGTAAGATTAAATGTATTTTAAGGACTAAATTGGATATAAGAACGTTTTCGATTGGTCAAATAAAGAGCGTCAAAACTTTACCAGGATATAATTATTGTCAGTCGAAAGATTATATGCCGTGAGGGCAGGGTCGCAGGGACGTTGTTTTGAACAGCAATTTCCGTGCATGGAATTTTGGAAAGATTCGAAATGAAAGGCCATGCATTTTGTATGATAAACAATGTCGATGTGAAATAAAATTAAGCAAATTATAAAGAATCTATTTTAAAATTTCAGCCATTCTTTGATTATTCAAAATTCAGGAACAAACGTAGTTTTACCACTTGCTGCCAATCAAAAGAACCGAAACAAATATTTCGATTACGATGTTTCAACGGTTGTATTCATTTATCGTGTATTGAACTGAAGCGAAGATAAATAAATCAATACGTCAGCTGAAACCGAACGAAGTCAAACTTAAATAATTCTTTACTGTCGAAATGATTCGTAAAACCTTTCAAAAGTGTTTAATTCATGACGAATTATACGTGTTTTACGTGTTTCAGCTCCTTATTCATCCATTTTGAATCGAAGTTAACCCAGGAATAAAAAGTTAACTCACCTAGCTAGCAGGCTTAATTTTTTTATCAATTTTAACCCAGGCGGTTAACGCTAACCGAGCTTAGTGCAACGCAAATCAACCAAGGCTTAAAATTTTATTCTGCACTTTCTTTCTACACAGGGACCACCATAATCTGTGTTGGAGCTGGTCGAGAATTAATGTTACAATTCTTCCGTTCCCAACTTCAAGAGTTCGCAAGCGACCCGCCAGAACAATACGTCCTTACAGAGGGATTTGAAGCACTGGACAAAGTTGTGAAAGCTGTTTCCTCTATAACATGCGAAGGTAGGTCACTTTGTCTTTTGCTAAAAGAATATCCGATAAAGTTAAATTGGAACTGATTACGATACAAAACGCTGAAAGATAACATCAAACATGAACAACAGTAAAATAGGAAATACCTGGAATCCTCTAAAATGGGTTTTTTTCTTCAGAAAAAGCTATATACATATATGGCCTTTTTAAAAAGTTGGGTGTTTCACAATATAGTTATATAATTCGACTATTCGAGAATAGCCATATAAAAACACAACATAACTACTTCTCAAATAAAACTAAAATTATCCCACTCACTCTCACACTATGCATAACAAACAATACAAGTTTTGCACTTATGGATGATTCCGTTTATCATCGTCTATGAAAAGATGTATGTTCATGTTAATATTATCACTTTTTCTCTCTTCTTTTTTCCTTCTCGGACATGTAATTAAAGCTAACAGCAACTAACATACAGAAAAAACTTCCTTTATACAGAGGCAAAGAACCCCCAGAACCAAAGACAAACGGAAACACTTCAATTGACGGTATGAGTCAAGTTTGACGGTCTCAAAATCCGTCCCAAATATTCACTATATCACCACAAAACTATATCACCACGAAAAATCTGTTAAAGTCGTTAATCTAACCAGACTTTTTACATTCATATTTCATGCAGCCAATTTAAACAGCTACAAAACAGCAAATCATTACTGGGCGTTTGACGTGGCGAAAGGCGATATTGTGACGGATCTTATTGGCAGAAAGCGTTGTACACTAACAGGTCCTCATAATGATTTTTAAAAAATGTTGTGTCTAAATTGTTTGAAAAAACGTATAAATCTATCGAAGGAAACAGGTCACAGATTATCATCGATCTGCTTTTTAAGGATTTACTTATTCAAGCAAAAGCCTTTATGTCATCGTCTGTGTAAGATTGATAGTAAGAATGTGACGTATACGATATCTTCCGAGGACGAAAAAATTTGTGATCGGATGTGTTTCCATTCAATAGGAAAAGTATATGAATATATTGTTCCATTTTTCACTTGTCGAACTTTAGAAAAAGCAATTGCTTGTAGCTGAAGCACTGCAACAATTTCGTTGTGCGTTTGTCGTTTTCTTTAAATATTTTGTCTTCAAAAACGCTAAAATATCTTCAAAAGTTGACATCATTTTGTGCTTTGTTATACGACAGTTTGGGCAATATTCTTGCATATCTTTCTTGCATCATAAAACTGACAAAATTGCAAGTCCTTCTATATATGCACTCCTCGAGTGCCAATTTTTCAAATATTTTAGCTAAAAGTAATAATTCGATTCGTCTGCCATTTTGGAATATTGAGGAAGCGTGTTGGCCTCAAGAGTGCATGAGGTCACGAGATTTATTTATATGTTAGCGATTTAGTATTTACAGTTTATCTGCAAATTAGTAGAGTTAATTACTTGTAATAGTTCAATAGTGTCAAAATTTTAGGCGGATCTCATCTCTTTATGTCTGTCAAACGAAAAAAGGTTGCCTCAATGGTTGAATCAGGTGGTTACCTCGATTTTGGAAGTTGGGCGGGGGAGTGTATCACCGACCCTGATCTTTGTGTAGATGGACTAACCGTCACAATGTGGTTACGTATACAAGCAAAAGATGTCAACTATAATAGCGAATATCAGTACATTATATCATCTGGGGCCGAGGGTGAATCTATGAGAGGGATCGTGTTTTTGCTGAAGGTAAGATGAATTATTTTCGACTAAAAAGACCCCGAGTAGCTATTAATCAGTGTCAATCCGTCTGTAAACCCGCCCGACTACATGGTAACCAAGCGTACTGATTGTCCACTCTATGTTTCCAAGGGTGCGCGCTCGCTCACAGCAGAATACTTAAATGCTGCCTAATAGACGACTTGCGCTTTAGACTAATTTTTCATCGAAGTAAAAAGAAGAAAATACCGTCACAGCTAGAAGGAACGTACTTGATTCGTGCAAATGTAAAGTTTGGCTGTGAAATTTGATAAAATACGGAAAATATAGCCATGCGAAGTTGGCATATTTTGTATACTTTTGTATTACGCGCGGAAATGTGTAACTAATTTAGTTACAAACTTCCGGCCGTAATGCGAAATTATACAAAATCGACAACTTCGCATGACTATATTTTCCGTAATTCACAACAATTCGCACCCAAACTTGGCAGTTTTACTAATTTTAATAAGCTTTTCAGAAAATTTCCTTTTTATCCCAGGAAATTAGTCTAAAGCCGGTTTTCCACAAGCGGTATTTTTCGAGCGAATCGACATTTTACTTTTGTTTCAGAGCTCTCAACTGCAACCATCTGGAACCAATTGCTCAAATACAAAGGAATAAAGTCGCTTCGCGCGAAAAATATCGCTAGTGGAAAACCGGCTTAAAGCGCAAGTCGTCCATTGTAGCTACTTCATTTCCTTCGTTTTTTATCTTTGCAAACCTAGATATGGTTCTCTAGTAGCAGCTTTCCGTTTTCTTCGCAAAACCCGAACACTAGCTGTTGACCCGCGGGTTATATCGAATGTTTACTTTTTTAAGGCAAAAGATGAAATTTATAAGCTGTTAGTCCGCACAACCGCTCAAGCATGGTCAATTACATTGCCGGCTGACCGTATACCAAGCGTATGGTTCAGTTTTGCATTCTCATGGAAAAGAACACTTGGGCTTGCTGTTTATCTCAATGGTTTTAAGGTGGGATTAATTTTTTGGGGCATTTTTGATAAAGTTAACCGTTGCAATTACAGTTAACTATAATAGCCCAGTCGCAATTGTTGGTAGAAGGGTTGGAATTAACTGCAACTTCTTCTGATAAATTCGTAAATAACCAGGCCGTATATAGTAGCCTAAGTACTGACATACATGTGTAAGTATCTAAGTTCGGATGGAAGAGCCTCGACAATAGCATAAAATTTCCATTTTCCACAAACTTTAAACTTTCCAAGAATTTGTTTTTACATTTGATAAGCTCAACTTTAATTCATACCAACTATTCCAACGAAGACCATTAGGATTTTTGTCGCCTGCATGAATATAGATTTTCAAAGTTCACTTTGCCTACACAGGGAATCGGGCAAGCTTTTCCTGTCAAAGAACAAAGACGCTTACCCTTACTGTTACGGACGTCCTAATCGTTTGTACTTTCGTCCCAACAGGTAGAGGAAAATTTAAAGCCGACAAACGTGGAAGGGCCAGATGTATCGAACTCTTTATTCGTTGCTAGACCTGCAACAAGTACAAGTCTGGAGTATCAGACGAAATTCCGTATTGATGATTTCGCCATATTTTATCGCTATATGACCGACCAAGAAGTTCAAGGCGTTTTGTTTGAAGGTATAGTGCATTGAAGGTTTTATTTTGGATGAATAAGCACTTCTAAAGCAGTTTGAGGGCATGCTCCCTCGGGACGTGTTTTAAAAATACCAGAACATATAATCTAGGGGAGGGGATAGCTTGTTGCCGTCTTTTTAGTGCCCCTGGACCCTTGCGTCTGGGGTCGAGACCGTAGGCCGAGTGCAATATTGAAATTTCGAGTACATTGTAAGGTCAGCAAGTGCGTTTATTTGTAAACAAAACCAGGGGCGCCGTGGGTGTGCTAATGTAGGGGTGGCCAAAGGCAACATTATTCCGACCAGCACGTTTTTTCCGACATATTTATAAGAAAAAAGTAACGAATATTGATAAAACTGACAGGGGGCTTTGGGCCAGAACGCGCATGCATTTGCTATGACAAAGATCACGAGCTACGTCTACTAATTTAAATTGACGCTTCATGCACAATGAATATGACCGATAAATATTCACGTTTTACATACGCTTTTCAATTGAGTAGTTGAATATTTTTTGATACAGTTAACTGTTTGTGGGAAAACTGTATTACAGAGATTCCTAATCCACATGCATTAACAAATAACGCGATAAGTTATTTCACGATACTCTATTATAGCTTTGTAATCTTAGTGGATGAGCATACAGCGTATTCTATACGCAACATTTGTTTATAACCAAAATATAAACATATTTGCAATTGCTTCAATCCTCTCATCAGTTTACTTCTTCCGCTGTACTATCGTGGTACCTTATCTTTGTATAAACTTCATGAACCGTAAACGTTTGACTAAAAGTACTAACTTGAAAAGGATTTGCTGTAGCTCCAGCATTCTGATACGGAACATGCTGGTGTTTCTTTAGACGGTCACCATATAATGCAATAAACTGTATAAACTCACTGAACAATAAATGCGGTCGTCATTATACATCGTCATTCATGATTTTATCGCGCCAACCTCCGACATTTCGAAAATTACATTCCTTGCGTAATGTTATATTAATAGAAACTATGCATGTTTATCGGAAACCGGAATTCAAAACGTTCGGAAGAAACAGCTAGTTTAGCCTGCGCGACAACAGTATAATAAAAACCTGGGGTAGTGTCGTACCGTATAATATTAGAAATAACCGCGTCTATTTTCTGATAGTTCAAACACTTTTGGGTTGTTCAGCATAACACAGCTACAAATGCAAAAATAGCTTAGTCTCTGTTATGATTGATATACTCCGACGACGTGCAATGTTCGTAAATTTCCGACAGGTTTGAATCCTGGGGGGGCCATGGCCCCCCCTGGCCCCCCCGGCCACGGCGCCCCTGAACAAAACACGAACATAAAGTCTTTAACACGTTTAATATACAATCTGAGTTCATTGATTGCTGCATTGAAGATCAAAGCTTCGCTGCAGGCTATCATTTTTAAATAAATCATGACTCTTATGTGTTATTACGAATAAACCATGACTTCATGGGTTATTGTGAATAATTATGATTCCCATGATCTGTCGCCAGGCAACTAGAAACCATGTGATTGATTTTGACCAATCGCGTGAGTAGATTTAGGCTAATGCACGAAGATTGTATATTAATATATAATAGTTTACGTCCACGCATGATTGAACATTGTATGTTGAAAAACGTTTTGTTTCTTGTTTTAGTGGGTGGCTCTCCACCACAAGGTGAGTGTCTGTGCGTATTTATGGTAAAATTCACACCCATTCTTTCAATCATGGTAATATATTCAAACAATATGTTGACAAATTAACGAGGGTACTCGATCTACTCAAGAACCACAAAGCACACCTATGGACTGTTTGGGAAAAAATGCAGTTTTTTTAATTCAAAAAAAATTTTCGATTCTTCCAAACAATCCGTAAATTCGTGACTACGTTGACCCCGTCAACGTAGATTGGAAAACGGCTTATATATATGTATCTATTTACATTTACGAGGCGCAGATCTATGCACCCCTAATCCATGTAAGCATGGGTCTTGCTCAGTTGATAGTGATACCGCCTCAGGATTTGTTTGTCAGTGTTCACCTGGTTGGACGGGGGACTTGTGTAATCAAGGTGAGATAATAATCTATCTGATAATGAGATGCATGATTTTGTCTAAAATTATCAGTGGCTATCAGTCCACACAAGAGCAATGTCGTGACCTTAAATAGGCTTTTCCCATGCTATCAGAATACTTTATGGCCATTGGAATCATATTAGGAAGGTAAACCATAAATGTTCTATGGTTTTAGATGTGTATTTTTGAGGTTTACAACAGGAGACTGATGAATCAGATATTCATTAATGTCGTTGACATCGCCAGCCGTTAAATATTTTTTGCACCAATTATTCCTCACACAAACTCTATACTTTACCCAATTGGGAGTCATTTCTTTGTAACAGTGGCGACACATTATGCAAATGCTGTGTCGGCTATAACATTTTGCTATGATAAATGACATAAGAAAAAGGCATGTTCGAAATAGGTCGTCTTAAATAGATTGTCTTAAAATTTGTTCTTAAAAGAATGTTTTTTAATGAAGTAAAAAACCACCCGAGCTGCCACATTGCTAGACTTGCTACAAGTCGACTCTTTAAACCCACCACGCGTTCCCTTCCCTCGCTTTCGCGACCTCGCTACGCTCGGTCGCTCAAGCTCGCGTATAGGTTTAAAGAGTAGCAAGTCTACCACATTGCCTACAAAATAGACAGCAATGCGCACGTTCAGAGTATTTTTTGCAGCTAAGCAACGTTTTTTTATCAAATGCGCATGCTCAGACTATTATTTCCATACACTTTTTTACGGTATAAAAATTCAGAACAGTATAAAGCAAATGCATAAAACCTTTGCTTATACAAGCACATCAAAACTTTCTTAGATACATCACAAACAATTGGGACACCAGGTGGTCAATCCACACAAACTCCATCTGTTGACAAACCAAGTACTGGTCAAGGACGTCTGGAACCTCCAAACAAATCTCAAAGTCCAGCAACATCGCCTAATGTTCCTCAGAGTCCTGCGCAGTCTCCGTCCAACCCAAGACCACCACCGGGCGAAAGCGGGCCTCCTGGACCACTCCAAACACAACAATCTGGAACCCCTTTCTCCCCTAAAAATCCAGCGACGACCCAATCCGTCTCGCAAGTCCAATACCCCACGAGGCCTTCAAACATCCCTCCAGGTGAACCTCAAAATCCATCAACATCTGATATACCAACTCCTGGACAATCCTCCCCTAGCCCTGGCCAATCCCCAACCAAAAGCCCAGGAATCTATCCTGGTGGAAACATCGATCCGGTCCAACAACCATCCACAAGCCCTCGAGGTCCAGGTTCGAGGCCATCCAGACCAGGCCCTCTTCCTCCAAGTGCGTCACCAACAGAAAGACCAAAAGGTTGTCCACCGTGCCCCGGTGAGAATAGAGAATGGAGTGTATGATTTATACTTAACAAACATTATAATATACGTACTCGTATACTTAGGCTTAGTTTAGCGTGTTTAGTTTAGGCTTAGTTTAGTGTAGCAAATGCATCGCTACATGGCGGGGTGGGGCCGATGGGGTTGGAAAAGTTGATCAAACTGGGAAAAATAATCTTGCTGTCTTGTGACCAACAGCCAGTGTCTGTTTGGCTGGTAAAACAAGCTCTTACGATCAAATAGAAAAATCGACATTCCTCGACATTTTTAGCGGTATATATGTTTTCAATATGCAAAGTTTGCAACGCTTATAACGTTACAACGTTTTTACGTTAGATAAGCCGAGCGGTAAAGCATCGTCTACCAATTCCAACACACAAGCAACATCAAGCTCACCTGGAACATCAAACCCGCCTGGAACATCAAACCTACCCGGAAAATCGAACCCACTCGGAACATCAAGCGCACCCGAAACATCAAATCCACCAGAAACAACAAGCCCTCCCGGTACATCAGACCCTCCCGGAACAACAAACCCACCAGAAACAATAAGCCCACCCAGAACATCAAACCTACCCGGAACATCGAATCCACCCGGAACATCAAGCGCACCCGTAACATCAAACCGACCAGAAACAACAAACTCTCCAGGCACATCAAGTCCACCCGGCATATCAAGCCCACCCGGAACATCAAGTCCACCCGGCACATCAAGCCCATCCGGAACATCAAACCCACCCGGAGCATCAAACCCGCCAGGAACATTAAACCCTCCCGGTAAATCAAGCCCACCTGGAACATCAAACCTACCTGGAGCATCAAACCCACCTGGAGCATCAAACCCACCTGGAGCATCAAATCCACCCGGAACATCAAGCCCACCTAGTACATCGAGCGCGCCCGGAACAACAAGCCCACCCGGAACATCAAGCTCACCTGGAACATCAAACCCTTCCAGAACCTCAGGAGAATCCTCCAACGTTCCGGGAACATCGGCATCAAATCCTCCAGGAACTTTAAACCCCACAAACCCCACTAATACGTCTCTAGGTAACCCAGGCACCCCTTCATTAGCACCCAGTTCGCCCCAAGTTCCTACCAATATTCCCAGTAGTTCACCTCAAGGTCCTGGCAATACGCAGAATTTACCAGACGGCCCTCAAGATCTTGGAAAATCTAATGCAAACACATCAAAAACCCCTAGTACGCAAAAGATTCCTAAGACATCTGGCGGGTCTCCAGATGCTCATAGAACTTCTGATAAAACCAAATGCACGCCAATACCTCCAGGTAATCATGAAAAAGCTGATAGGTATTTAGCCAAAGGGTTTTCTTGGGTCTACAGTTTAGGGTGATTAATTCAGTAAAGATACAGTTAGATCACAGTTATAATATACGAGAAATAATTTGAAATTCCTGCCACGAAAACACCCCAACCATACAATTCGAAAGGGTTGCGTGCGTATTATCCTTTCTTTCGGGTCACAAATTCTTTGAAAATCTATCCAATTAAAAAAGTTGCATTTTGATCGGATACTGCACAGTTTTTTTACTAAATATCTTATAGTATTATAACTATTATTTATTTAAAGGAATTGACAGCCTCTGAGAGCTAAAAGCTTTGAGAGAAATTGTCATTTCCAACAACTGCACGCTATTGCGGCATTACCTGTGATAAATAGTCGTAGCGCATGCTATAACCCCTGAAGGCTGGCCTACACTTGTACGAACGGTCAGTGCGGCTGATTTAGCGCATGCCCGGTGACTCGAAACTTTTCACTAAGCCGGACGTCGCGGGTAATTTTTTATACGTATGACAGTAGAACTGTAGTCTACTTTCAAGGCGTCCGTCAACGCGCGAGCCGTGCGTGCGATTTCGGCGCATACGTACGTGCAAGTGGAAGCCGGCGTTTACAGACGAGCAAGTTTTCTATGACAAGTTTTTATGTGACAGGTTTTAATTGTTCGTCTGTACTCCCATGCAACTTTGACAATTTTTTCTATGACAAGTACGCTTGTTCAAAATTAAGTATTCTTGATTTTGAACAAGTGTACTTGTCATAGAAAAAATTGTCAAAGTAAAAATTTCGCTCGTGTGTATGAGCCAACAAAGAAAACTTGTCAAAGTAATGTGAGCACTTGTATGAGTTTGACCAGCGGACTATTGTATTTTGCAGTGGCAGCTAGCGTTAGCGCTGTACGTTTGACTGATTTGGCGATAAAAAACTGCTCTGGTTAAAAGAGAGTTTATGGAATATTAATTCGGAAATCGGCATCATATAGAGAGATAAAAACAAGAACTGAATTGCGTTATTATCACATTGCAATCCTTACGTTATTACATTATTCAGAAATGAAATTCAAAAAATGGCGTCTGTTTGCGCGCTTACGTTTTTCGTTACGATCACGTACATCGCTAATTGCAAACTATTTTCTCAAAGTAAACTTGTTCACACATTCAGACGAGCAAATAAAACTTTCCAAACTTTCCATTTGTCATTAGAAAATTTGTTGTATACATACACACTGCAATTGCCAATTAAAACTTGTCTTTGTCTTATTACGTTCAACGTCATTCAATTATCTGACAGGTTTTCTGTTTTTGATCTGAGGTTTTGGATGTTAAAAACTTTTTTCCAGGATCAAGTATTTGTTCCTCGGCACCATCACAAAGCCTGGCAGACGCCTCTCACACATACCACTATCAATTGCCACCTATCTTTGGGCCATATGACACCGGAGGTAGGAAAAAGCACACACGTTATAATGATTATAAATGCTACTATATAGCCTAATTTGAAGGGTATGGCTATTCTGCACGTTACCTCTGGTATACCTCTAGATGCCCTTCGTGACGTACATATAGTCAGAAATTTAGTGTTTGGATGGTCTTATCCAAACACGCGGGAATGTTGCAAGAGTTAAGAAAAGTTCCGCACCAGCCGAGGGTGATTTTGCGAGCTTTTCTTAATACAAGCATTCCCAAGTGTTTCGATCAGGCCGCCCAAACACGGGAAACCATTAAGTTATTGTTTTAAAAAATAGGAACAATAAGGTGGTGTTCCAAGTTTGATTTCCATAAGCGAATTAAATTTCCGTCTTTGGATAGCCTGATCCAAACACAGGCTTCGAACAATCAGAACAAACGTTATATACATGTTATTTTATAAAGAAAATTGAAGAATATATCATCTTCAAAATCTGATGTGATTATATAAAGAATGGGAAGTCATGATAATATGTAGAAACTTGCCGACTTAAATGAACTAAAAGGGTGATAACTGAGATTTGGAACTCTTTTAACAAAATTTTATATTTTCGATGAAAACATATTTCTGATAAAAATGAGAATTTAAAAAATGACAATTGCATTTCGTCATCAGTTCCCAGCTGTTTCAATTTCGGCAGTACTAAGAATTACTTAAAATAGGCCCTGTTGGAAGAATTTCCAAACTTAAAGATGCGTATGGTAATATATAAATAGGATAGTTTCATCAGACCATGCACAACTAGTCACTGCAATACGTCCTGTAATTTGTACATTATAATGATTTTATCAAATTATAACTTATCAATATAATTATAACTACACTACTGTCAAGCGGTAAGCTAGGATTAAAATGAATTGTAGAGCAATTTCTTTATTTTCTCATCCGCAGGGATGTAAGACGAACTTGAATCTTGTATAATTTAGGCAAAGATTTTATAAAAACTCCTTTAATCACTTTATATATATTCACCTGTAATCTTAGTCCCTGCAAGAGACACACAGGCAATGATTGACTTATCTTCATTATTTCATTAAAAATGTCATTTGCGTAAGATGCTTTTTGCATTTCTTAGAGTTGCTTTTTGCAACATCATAGCTAAATCAAATTAGCTAGGGGCGAAGGGTCTTAATTTAGAAATCATACATACCCTAATTTCAAGCCCTGGTCTGAGAAAAATGCGGTTCTCCGGCATGAATCGAATCACGCCCCCCGTGACGCCGGTAAAGCGTCGAGATCAAGACCCCCTACCTTAAAGAAATTATCCTACAGTGAGTGGAATGCCACAAAATCTAACTATATTTAATTCCCTCACCTAAACAAATTGGCGTTACACAGCAAAGTCTCCCAACAATGTTCTTTTGTTATGTAGATGATTATGGCTGCACACCACAGTGTATGAGTGATTGCACATCGGGAGGTTGTTCTGGCGCATGTTGCAGGTCGTGTCCACCCGTATGCAAGAGAGTATGTCGTCCAGATTGCCCGTCCAGATGCTGCGGAAAAAACGCAATAATCCCGCAACGGCGTCACGCAATCGCGAGACCATCCCGCCCGATCACGAGATCGCACCGCGCAACTGTGACTTATTGAAACTTTTGAGGTGCACTGAATTGTTGATAATCACCAAATAGTTGTCGACAACTATAAACCATTTAATATTGCAGCCCGACTTTATTATATTATCATAGGTTCTCTATATTTCTATACATAAGGCTGTTTTATTAAGGTGAAATTTTGTAACAATAACATGTTACGAAGCGATTTAGTATCTTTTAATGGTTATATGCTTTAAACTACCTGCGTAACAAGAACGATAATGGGGGGGGGTGAATATTCAGTTTGTAAGTGCAATAGCTTAAAGAAATACGTCGAAATACATATAGAAATACGTCAGGCAGAACTGAATATATTAGTATTCACACCCCCCCCCAATTATCGTTTTAGTTACGCCACTGACTACCTGGTATCCCCTGGGAAACCTGACCTCTTTATTTTAATATAACTCGGCATCTATAAAACTTAAAGTTATTGAGTTGAAATAAACTCCATTGCATGCGTGGGCTAACCTAAATCTTGACCTAAAGTACAAAATTATTGGATTGACGGAGATACAATAATTTAATTTTGCATGCGACTTTGAAAATTTGTAAAAATATGACCGGCATACTTAAATTAATTGCAAAATACTTGCCACCTCCGTTGAAGGATTTTCATCAGCATATTCTAGTGAAGGTCGTATTTTAGTGCAGTAAGTTGCATAGCCGACTTCCGTAGGAAGATGTGCCTTAATTCCTACACTCCTTGAGATGATATAATATCTTGCTACTTTTACGTGTGATTTCTTTAATGTTAGAATTCCATTTCAGATTACTCTGACAACCAAGCCCAAGTAACTTGAAAATGTCTACTCTTTCAATAATAATACCCGAAATAGAAAGATTGGGAGGTTGCGGAATAGACTTCCCAAAGCAAATCCACACATTCTTCGTTTTTTCGCATTTAATTGCATTTTATTATCATCAGACCAGTTTTTTACCGAATCCAAGACTTGCTGCATGTTACTGCATTTTCCCTGTATAACGCGCCCACTTTGTGTACAATCGTCAGCGTCTTTGTGTGTACTGATTCCTAGGTGTTCAGAAACACAGGTGCCGGTTGTATCATGCATGTAATAAAACGATAGACGTACTTTCAATTTTGAACTTAACCACCGTTTAAGCTAAACGGGCTTGATACATGAAAGCCGGATAGCGCTATTCACCGGAAAGTGATTTTTTCAACCGTTCTAAGACTAAAAGTGCTTGAAAAGCAATAAAATGTCAGCTTTGGAACCAACAATTATTAAACAAAATCCTCGATTTAGGAATAAGATTTAATACCAAAGTTATACAAAAAAACGGGCGCTTTTGAATCGATTGAAAAAACACGGTGGATAGCGCTATCTGCATGGCTTTCATACAACTGGCCCCATGCAGGTGTCTAAATCGTCGATGTGCATATTGAATAAGGTTGGGGAAAGTACAGATCCTTGTGGTACTCCAGCAGGACAGCTCTCGGTCGATGATAGTGTTCCATTTATCATAACTTGCTGAGTTCTACCTGATAGGTAGCTTTTAACCCACAGCCAGAAACTTTTATTGACATTCATTCGTGCAAGTTTATGCACCAAAATCTAGTGCTCAACTAAATCAAAGGCTTTTTTTAAAGTCTATAAATAGAGCACGAATAGCTGATTTATCACAATGGGTAGCATCTGTAGCATTAAACCATGGTTGTTTGATAGATATCAGAGCTTATGTGATAGAGGGGCCATTAGTAAAGCCACGCTGGCGAGGACGTAATGTGAAATTTTTATAATTTAATTGAAGTTTATTTTCTCTAAAATTTTCGAGATATGTGCATGGTAAGACAGATATTTGCCGAAAGTTATTGTTTACATCATTTGGCGGATATACTTTAGGCACAGGTGTAATAACGCCATGCTTGTAATGACTTGGATACTTGCAACGTTAACTGCTGGCTGTTATAATTTAATAGACTACCAGGCCGGGGATGTGACCCAAACTGTTTCAAAAATATTGGCTGTTGGTTGGTAAATATTTTTAAGAGTTATAGTCTGGTCAGTTTGAACAAAATCAGTCAGAAATTGTTAGGTGTATCAAGTCGGCTTGGGACGGGTTGTTCAAATGCAGGTTAAATCTTTATCCCTAGGTTAGTTAAACCTGTGTTGTTCAAAGCGGGGGTTATCCATACGGTTAGTTAACCCAAGGGTTAAAATATTTAACCCATGCAGGATTAAATGTATTTTGAAGCCTAAATTGGATATAAGAGCGCTTTCGATTGGTTGATAAACGAGTGTCAAAACTGTAACCGAGGACGAAATATTGTCAGTCATTTTTGTGTATGGAATTTTGGAAAGTTTCGAAAGGGTTGGCTTTATGTAAAAGGAACATGAAGATAAAAAAGAAGTAAAAATTATGTGTTTATGGGAGAATCATAAAGAATCAAACCTGCGTGGAAGTGTATTAGTAAAAGGTAAAATTATAAAATTAAACTGTGTGTCTTACAAAAAATTGTTGTTGAACTTGGATAAAACAACGTGATGAGCCATCTTAAAGTTGTTATGTTTAAACGAGTGGAAATTTAACCAAAGATCGGCTTAGATATGCTTAAGAGCAGAGTTGTGTTCGTTCAAGGAGCCGATCGAACAGGGACAAAGGATTGCAAGCGTGTGTGCATAAAATGCATTAGTATGTTACGTCATTGGAGTCAGGAGTCAAGGTGTATGTTGGGGACAGTGGGGGTTTATGTGTCAGTCATAATGGTTGTGTGTGGACATCAGAGGTTTAATTGTGTTTTGGTCGTGGGCTGTACTTCATGTAGTATGGTTGGTACGTTGTTATGTTAAATACTTTAGGATGTTCCGTTTGTTGTAATTGTTTGTACTTGTGTTGAATTTTGGTTGGTTTTGTGTTACTTGTGGTGTGTGGGTTTTTTGCGTCTAAGAAAATCCAGGATTTGCTGTTGCGCAGTGGCGTGCTGAGGCTTGTAAATTTACGTTAGCGTATTACTTCATTAGTTATAGAAATAATAGAACATGCGCCAATACACAAGAATAACTCAAGACACAAGTATAATCTCTAATATAATATGCTTCGAATGCAATTCGTATTTACATTCACCAAAACATGAACAACAACGAACCCCGGAAAGCGCGCGAAAGCGCCGGAAGTGAGTCTAACATGCAATACTAATTATCTACTTCATGTAACATGCCACGAGGGTGTGGCGATGGATGATAGAATTGAAAATTCAGCCACCATTGGCCGATGGATGCTCAATCATTAATGGTGCATTTTCCTTTGCAATCAACCTCATACCCTGGGCCTATTTTTGGTATAACAATTTGTTTTTAATTCTAATTTTTTTATGTGATACACTGACACTCCATTTTTCTTTAGGAATCGTGGCGATAGACGGCAGTCAATGGGGGCCCTTTGGGACCCCAACAGTTGGGGGCCCTTAGTTCTTGTCCTAACCCTACCTTACGTCCGTTACGCCACTGCTGTTGCGTCTTGTAGTTCAACTGAGACGGAATGTTTGTGTTAGGTGCTGGTTGTTGCTCAGTATTGTTTGTTGATGGGTTTGCTGTCTGCTGTGATTAGGTTGTCGATAGTGGGTTGGGATTCGAAGTTGTGGTGTTCTTGTTAGTGTTATTGTGCTAGTTGTTCCGGATTTGTGGCGGTGTGGTGTGTGGGCTTGCATGAGGGGTTTTGGTTTAGGTCTGTTGGTTGGTGTATGTGTGGAATTTTTGGTTGGTTTGGTATTGTTCTGTATGGTAAGCAGGCTTGTTTTGTGTATTTGGTTGCAATGGCGCTGGTTTTTATAGTATGTTGTTGGCAGTCGTTTATGCTGTTCTATGTTTGTTTTTTTCTGGTTGTGATAGTCAATGGTTACATTAAGTAGTTCTTGTGAGGCATTCATCCAGGGGCGTACCCAAGGGGGGCGCAAGGGGGGGCGGTCGCCCCAATGGTCTTTGAAACCATTCTTATGAAATGTTTAAATCCAGCGGAATATAAGGAGGGGGGATCAAGTTAGGTAAGCAACGAGTAATCAGTAAATCTAAAGAGATTTTCATGTGTATTGTTCGTTGTTCTAATGTAATAATGACAGAATTTCGCTATTTGTAACCTTACGATTACTTTTAAAAGCTCGTATCAAAATGCGGGAAATGGCGTTTCCAAGCCTTAGAAATCCAAAATTTTCCCCGCGGGAGCATGCCCCCGGACTTTGGTACCTACAATCATGTGCAAAAATTATTGAGACACGGTCATGACACCTAGTATCTACCCCCCTCTCCCCCCAAAACAATGTTGTTTCTATGATACCAAGCCATTTGATTTGCCGAAAATATCACTCTCATTGTCAATGGGGGAAGGGGAGAAATAGTCAATAGTTTAACGAAATACGTGACAAAATAGTTGTCAAAATGAAAAGAATGTGTTTAGAATACGTAAAGTCTCATAATTTTTGCACATGATTGTCCATGCCCCCTTGGCTGAAAAAGGCGATCTACATTCAATAAATTTTTCTATAAAGCTATCAATAGCTACCACATATAATTATTCATCGGTAGAGTTTGAGCTAAAAAGATTTAATTAGTGGAAATATAATTTCTAAAGTCGGTTTACATCAAGGTTAATTATTAGCTTTCAGCGGGAAATTTGAATTTTTCATATCGCAACTTAACGGTTATGCAAAATGGCGGTACCAATAGACGAAATTCATAGCAGAAAACCACGGCGTTGCTATTTAATAACATATAGCCAAGCCGATCTTCAAAAATTTCGTACTAGAGAATCGTTTGCTGATGTAGTTGAAACCTTTACATCCCCACGAAGCAAATCATCGCCACAACACTGGGCATGTTGCATTGAGAGGCACCAAGATCACGGTGTGACGCGCGATCAAAATGATTGCGTAATTAATGCATGTCGCAATACATAATCATGTAAATAGAATTTGCTAGAGGAACATGATGATTAAGTGATTATAAATCAGACTGGGGCTGGAAGCCGTGCTGTGACTGTGTCTTGCAGGATCTTAGGCGTACGCTACAAATTTGGTGCTCAGCGGTGGGATTTCGATACACCTATAAAATGACTTCAGCAATTCTCCCTGGGAAATTCGAAAGTGGAGATATCGTGGGTTGGCTGAGAGAGTTCGACGCTTGCGCCGAAGCAAATGGCTGGAAAACGGAGGATAAGATAAAGAAACTCCCAGCATTTCTGC